AAAGTGGGAAACAGTTAAACATGAGAGGTTTTTGGACAAACTTTGTGTTCTCCGTTCTTTAACCACCAGCTCGAGCACCAGCTCGAGCACCGTTTAAGCACCGGCACCGTTTCAAAAGTACTGGTTTGGCACCAGTATTGGATAAAACCTAAACGATACCCATCCCTAGTTACAGCGTCATTAAAAATGGATAAAATTCAATGACAAAGTGAAAAATGTTTGCTTGAAATTTCTGAAATTTAGTAAAAGTAAAAAACAATTGTACATAGGTATACTTTGTACAATTGCTAAATACACTCCCTTGTGTATTTAAGCCCTGTACTGTATTTTAAGAGTAAATCAGTGAAAGTACTGCTACTTTGTTGCAGTACTTTTTGAAGCAATTACAGCCTCAAATCTTTTTGAGTATGATGCAACAAGTCTTTTTTTCTGCAGTTTCTTCTTTGCAGAAAATCTCAAGCTCTATCATGTGGGGAGGAGGGATGGGGAGTGTCAGCGCACCGATCTCTCTAGAGATCTGCAGTCAGGTTCAACCTGATCTGTCAATCAGGTTCGAAGTCTGGTCTCTGGCTGTACCACTCGAGGATATTTACAGAACCGTCTCTGTACATTGCTGCATTCATCTTTCCCTAAATGATGAATAGTTTCCCAATTCCTGCTGTTGAAAAAAATCTCTATAGCATGATACAGCCAACATCATGCTTCACTGTAGGAATGGCATTGGGCATTGAGTCTGAGTCACAGCCCTTTGCAGCATGTCTTCCCCTCTCTCTCACCCTTTGCTTTCCTGTTGATTTTTCACTCTCCCTATCAAAAAAGCCAATTAAATGCCTAAAAACTCTATGGGATGTTATATAGACAGTGTATTTCCAAATCATGTCCAATCAGCTGAATTGACCACAGATCAAGCCAGTTGTAGAAACATGATCTGAAAATAGGATGTACCTGAACTCAATTTTAAATGTTATGGTTTTGAATACTCATGTAGGTGTGGTATATTTCTTATTTTCCCTTTTAATAAATTTGCAATAATTTCAAGCAACCTTTTTTTACTTTGTCATTAGGCAGCATTGTGTGTAGGATTTTAATTTTAAAATATCAATTCAGTCCTATTTGGAAAATAGCTGTAATATGACAAAATGTGGAACAGGTGAACTGCTGTGCATAGTTTCCAGATGCACTGTAAGACAGAAACTCAAAGAAGCTCCTCAAAGTTGAAATATAGCCATTACGAAAAAATAAAAGTAAAACTGAAATAAAATTCATCATCCTGACTACAAATATGATAAAAGTAAAGACAGTATAAGGAGAGTTGACAAGTCAGATTGTAGCCGTGTTTTAACCTGAGCCATGGAGACCGCATGCTCATGATTGCTGCTCAGCTGCAAAAGTGGTCTGAATTGCTTCTGCAGTCCAGTAAGTAGCAAAGTGTCTGTCTGGACCTCCTGCTGCATGAGCAGCGAATCCTCTTGGAAAACTTCCATCTGAGACAGGGAGAGAACAGTCAAAGGTAAACACACAGCTTGTTGTCACATTTATCT